AGGAATACGCTCTGAAAGTTAAACTTGAATCAAAAATGACTCTGTATAATCACTCATTGCCAGGGAGAGTACAATGAAGGAGGGATGAGGGGTCATGCTGGCACCCAGCACCCCCTCCTCCATGCACTCACATTGTCAACCCGGAAGTGTGTGGACAGGCACACACGGGGCTGCCCTGTACATTCAGTGTCCACCGGGGGAGGGGGAGGGGTAATCTCACCAGGCTCTGCTTTCCTCCGGTCATAGAGATGCAGGGCGGCCAGACAGGAAGTACTGCTCACCGCCGCCCCCACTACAAACCCTCCGACGAAGCGGCGGCTCACAAGCCGGTAAACCAGGTGTCCGGACATGATTTAGAAGCGGGAAGAAAAAGAAAGCAGAGCGCCACCTGTAGTGCCATACGGTTTCGCCAAGTGACGATTTAGGGCCACCTACTGCCTGTAGATGCGCACTGCACGCGGTAAACCAGTCACAGGCGAGCTGTCAATAGAGCGACATCTTGTGGCTATGTGTAGAAATGCAATAATATTATTAACCACTTGCCCTCCTGAGGATTCCCCCCCTTCCTGTCCAGGCCATTTTTTGCATTATGGTACTATGTTACTTTGACAATTGTGCAGTCAGGCAATGCTTCACCCAAATGCAATGTATGTCCTTTTCTTCCCCACCAATTGAGCTTTCTTTCAGTGGTATTTGATCGCCTGTGCTGCTTTTATTTTTTGCGCTATAAAAAAAAGACTGATCATTTTGAGGAAAAAAATACAATATTTTTTACTTTTTGCAATTAAACATGTGCAGTAAAAAAAATTAAAAAAATCAAATTTAGGCCATACTGTATGCTGCTACATGTCTTCGCTAACAAAACATCCCAATATGCGAAAATTAATTGGTTTAGGTCAGGGGTGGGCAACTGTGGCCCTCCAGCTGTTGTAGAACTACAAGTCCCATGAGGCATTGCAAAACTGAGTTACAAGCATGACTCCCAAAGGCGAGGCATGATGGGACTAGTAGTTCACCAACAGCTGGAGAGCCACAGTTGCCCACCCCTAGTTTAGGTGAAAGTTATAACATTTACAAATGGAAAATGGATTTTTTTTTTTTTTTTTTACTAGTAATGGCGTGATCAGCAACTTATAGCGTGACTGCGGCGGGCATTCTGACACTGGGGGGAACTAACTGCCACTGACATCCCCAGTGGAACTAATATAGTGATCAGTGCTAATAAAAAGCACTGACACTGTACTGATGGCACTGGGCAGGAAGGGGGTAACATAAGGGGCAATAAAAAGGTTAACTGTGTACTGTTTCACAGTAAGCTGTGTCTGTGTTTTCAACTGTAAGCACACTGCTTTGTATGGCTCTACAATCACACAAAGCAGTGTGCTGGAGCTGACCGGGGAGAGAACTGTATTGTTTGCATACAGTTTTTCCCCCCCCCCCCCCCATTGGTAATACATGACGAGCACCAGGTGCCAGCAGTTAATCACCGGACAGGACCCGGTGATTGAGAGCCAAGGCCACGAATAGCAGTGCCCTCTACCCAGGAATGCAAAATCACGTATATATACACATGATTTTGCGCACTCCTACCACCCTGTGGCAGGATTTCTGCTATAGGGTGGCAAGGAAGCGGATAAAGAAAAATGCTACAGTAATTGTCCCACTTTACATCTCTAACCTTCATTTCTAATCTATCTTACAGTTACTATTCTCATAGGAGCATTTGAAGTCTAACTGCACTTTTGTTGAATCAAAAAAAAAATCTCTAGGTGATCGATGTAGACTATAAATAAAATATTTGTCCTCAACACTAAATGATACTGTATGTCTGGGGGAAATCCAACAGAGCTCACCCTCCAAATAACACCATTGCTACAGTAAAGCATTGAGGTGGTAATATCCTGTTATTGGGATATTGGCGAAGTTGTCAGGATAGACAGAATAATGGATGGGACAAAATACCATCAAATTCTTGAGGAAAATCTGCTGCTCTCTGCCAGAAAGTTATCAATGGGAAGAAGGTTTACCTTTCAACATGACGACCCAAAGCACACAGCAAAAAAGAGCAGACAATGGTTGAAGGAGAAAAAGATGAATGTCCTTACATGGCCTAATCAGGGCCCAGACTTAAACCCCATTGAAAATCTTTGAAATTCCTGCAGTCCACAAATGGTCACCATCAAATTTAACCAAACTTGAGCGGTTCTGCAAAGAAGAGGGATCAAATACTCCAAAGTCTAGATGTGCAAAGTTAGAAGATACATATCCCAACAGACTAAAGGCTGGAATTAAAGCAAAAGATGGTTCAGCAAAATACTGACACAAGGATACTTTTTCCAATTCAGTGGTTCTATTTTTGATTTTTTTTTTTCTGACATGTTGGTGCTATATCTTTCACTTGGATGTTATAAGTTGCACTGAGTAAATACAGCTGGATAAAATAAAAACCGTGTCTGTTTTCATTTCAGGCTGCAACAAAAAAGTGATTATTTTAAAGGGGGTCATTATTTTCTATTCCCACTGTAACAGTCAGGCAAATGGTATTTGCAAAAGGCGGTCAGACAAGGGCAGCTCCATGTTTCTGTCATGACACAACTGCTGCTGCCATCATTTGGTTACAAGAATATTTGTGGGGTTATTTTTTCCTGGTGTTTATGAGATGTGAGAAGTCTACCTGTCATTCAACGTACCAGGAAACCTTGCAAACTTGAAACATCAGTCTAGAACAGGGGTGTCAAACTGGTGGCGCTTCAGCTGTTGCAAAACTACAAGTCCCATCATGCCTCTGCCTTTTGGAGTCATGCTTGTAACTGTCAATCCTGCAATGCCTCATGGGAGTAGTTTGGCAACAGCTGGAGGGCCGCCAGTTTGACACCTGTGGTCTAGAAGAAAAGAACAGAGTTTAGAAGAAAAGAAACAAGTAGCAGAGAATTTGTAATAATTATAGCGGACTGCACCAGTGATTGGGTGAGTGCTTATTGTAGAAAGAAGCTGTGTCATCGTCCATCAATAAACACAAGATGTACTGTATGTCTTACGAAACATGCTAGAGAAAGGAATAATCTGTACTAATGAAACAAAAATAACCTGTAATAAATATTTTAAATCTAAGATGTCCAGGCGCGTCTGGATATAAACATCATGTACAGCATACCTCCATAGACCATCTGCGTATAGCTGCTAAGGCGACAGACGGAAGCACTGTGATGAGGACAATAAAACAGATGACTGCATTACACCCAGTGGAAATACATAAAGTGGGCAATTTAATTTAATGTCATTTATACAATGATTTGCAAAGATGAAGGACCTCCAGCCTGTGTAAAACACACAGCTTACCAAAGTAGATGTCAGTATAAACCATAAAAGGAGTAATATCAACTATAATAATGATAGGGTGGAAATCTAATGCCTGCAATATATAAACACAGGATACAGTGCCCACAGAAAAGATTATAGGCTGGCCTGCAATGGTGGTCTAGATATGATTCCAAGATGTACATTTTTAGATGAAGTCTGCAATGGCAACTCCTGTATTTCTCCCATGACAAGTTTACTTGAATGGATCATCCATTACCAGGATCCTCCAGTATGTAGAGGCATGTGTGTTTGTTAACAGAGAATAGCAGAAAAGTGTAACGTGGAACTGGATGTTTTGTGTGAGTGGTCTAAAGCCAGCTATAGATTATGTGATTTTCTGCAACCAGCAGAGTTATTGTGTTCTCCTGGCAAGGGGGTAGGGGAGCCATTCCTGCTGGGAGAGCAGAGCGACCATTGTTAGCGGCTGCAGCTGAAAATTCTGACAGGCTGGTTATACCAAAATCATACAACAATCGAATTGGGTACAATCAGCCTGTTCATAGACTGTTTGAATCTCACCCGGTCCCTGCTGAACCAGCCGAGATTCAAACCATCTATAGTCAGCTTAATGGAAGAATTTTGTGTTGAATTAGACCAGTCTTTCTCAACCTTTTCAACATGGAAGAACCCTTGAAATAACTTTCCGATCTCAGGGAACCCATGCTAAAAATGACTATAACTACAATTCAAGATACCTTAGTGTGATGGTCAGAGGGAAGATTGCTCCTTGCAGTTGTGGTCATTGGGAAGAATGATCCCCTTACAAATAGCTAAAAAGATAATTTGATCAAGGAACCCCTAGCAACCTTTTGAGGAACCCTGGTTGAGAAACCCTGAATTAGACATTGACAGATTAGATGTAGAATGTAAGATAATCAGCCACGTAAGAAGGGCACACTTTTCAGTATATCAGCTAGGACTTGCATTTTTTAGAGGGAGCAGTAAAACAAAATCATTATGTGGCGCTACAATGCAGGAAGTACATTATCACGTAACAAGCATGTGATGCTGCTCCCATGTACGTTATACTGCCTGTCAAACAATCTTGGAAGAAAGCTACAATGGGAATCTACACATTCTCCTTCATCCTCAAGCATAATCATGCACACTTTGGCAATCCCTGGACTGTATATGCAGTGCACAGCATAAATGATTACACCCCTTTTGAAAAGTAAGATTTTAATCAATATCTCAATGATCACACAATTTCCAAAATGTTGACAAAACTTGCAGTTCTCTCCCCCCGTAGGTAAAACAAAGTTTTATAAAACATTTGTTTAGCTCATTACATGAAAGTAAGGTTAATAATATAACTTCAGTTTTGACAAAATCTTCAGTTTTACTCAAATTAGTTGATGCAAAACTGAATACACCCCCACAACAAAAACTACACCATCTAGTACTTTGTATGACCTCCATGATTTGTAAGGATAACACCAAGTCTTCTAGGCATGGAATGAACAAGTTGGCGACATATTGCAACGTCTCTCTTTTTCCATTCTTCAAGAATTGCATCTTTTAGAGCCTGGAAGCTGGATGGAGAGTGATGCTCAACTTGTCTCTTCAGAATTCCCCATAGGTGTTTGAATGGATTCAGATCAGTAGACATGGCCACTGAATCACTTCCACCCTGTTCTTCCTCAGAAATGTTACAGTGGCATTAGATGTGTGTTTTGGATTATTGTCATGATGGAAAAGTGCACGATGACCAAGGGCACGGAGTGATGGTAGCATCTTCTCTTTCAATATAGAACAGTACATCTGTGAATTCATGATACCATCAATGAAATGCAGCTCCCCGATGCCAGCAGCATCCATGCAGCCCCAGAAAAGGATGCTGCCACAACCATTTATCACTGTAGGCACCATGCATTTTTCTTTGTACTCCTCACCTTTGCGACACCATACTGTTTTTAAGCCAACAGTTCCAAAAACATTTATCTTGGTCCCATCCCTCCAGAGTACAGAGTCCCAGTAGTCTTCTTCTTTTTCAGCATGGGCCCTGGCAAATTTGAGGTGGGAATTTGTGTGCATGGGCTTTAGGAGAGGCTTCCTTTGTGGACGACACCCATGCATGCCATTCTTCTGCAGTGTACGCCATATTGTGTCACGGAAAACAATCACCCCAGTTTGTCTTTCTACCTCTTTAGCTAACTGCAGTGAACTTGCATGGTGGTTTTCTTCAACCCTACTCATCAGAAGACGCTCCTGTCGAGGTGTTAACTTACATGGATGGCCTAGACATTTCTGTGAGATGGTTGCAGTTCCATCTTTGTTAAATTTTTGTATCACTTTTGCTTCAGTATTCTGACTATGTAATGCTTTGCTGATCTTGTAGCCTTCACCTTTCTTGTGTAAAGAAATTATTTTCTTTCTCAGACATTGTGACATTTCTCTTCCATGTGGTGCCATTGCCGACAGCATGAAATGGGAAGGGGTTTTCTTTAAGTAACAGCCTTTTATAATCAACTGTCTGCTGGACACCTGTTAAATGAATAATTAGACTCACCTGTAGTTGAATTCTGAATTAATTAGGATTTTGTTGTCTAAAATTTAGCTTTGTTCCTAAGACTTTCACATGGGGTGTATTCATTTTTGCAACATGGTCTTGAATTAATTTGTTAGGAATAATACTATTCTGTGTGAGCAAATTAACAAATCTTGTTTGCAATTAATCATTTGTGGTAGTATTTTGTAGTATAGTGTCTCATAGAAAATGTTGATTCTGAAAGGAAAGTAAAGGTTTTCTGACAAATCTGTTGCGGTGTACTCATTTATGCTGAGCACTGTATATATAGACTGTTACTATTTATAGAACACTATTATGGATAATACTTTGGGTATATGGGTACCTGCTGCCATTTTAATTTCAAAAGCTGAAGAGAACAAAGTACTTCAAATCCTTGCATACAGTATACAAACACTGTCAGCGTCAAGGGACTGTCAGCAAATTGGCTACAGGCAGGTAATGTCACTTCACTGCTAGGAACCAGAATGTGGCCAGTGTTTAGGAAATCAGCTGCATTTGCATACTCTGTGCCAGGAATGTGTAACAAGGGAAAAGGAAGCACAAAAATAATCAGTACACCATGCACTAGGTGCCATTTAAATTATTTTACCTTAGTGACCTATATATTACAAAAGAAACCAACAACACTGGATCATTATTTACCTGTAATTTATTGTTCAATTTCATATACAAAAAAAGATAAACTTGAAATAGTCCTTTCTAAAAAGTCCTCATATTGGTTATGGTGTGACTGCTTCACACTGGGCAAATACTACATTCATGACAATTTATCCTGGCACCCAGTGACAATTAAAGCAGTCAAACCAGAACTTCACAATGTCTAATCTCAAACTTGATACATTTTTCTTCTAAACAGACTACAGTAAAAGGGGACAAAGCTTCACAGCAACTTATCAAACTATGATACATTGTTCTTTCAAAACCACCTTAATTATTTACCTGCAATGTAATAAACACATGTTTTACTGATGGACATATCTATTTAAACCCATAATATTAGTATAAATAAATATGTCCCTCAAAGTCCATCAATTTCAAATGGGTTACAGCAACAGGCTCAACTGTATATATAAGTGTATACTTATATTTATATATATATTCTTTAAACAGGATATTTTAGCATAATGATTGTTAAATCAGTAGTACAAGCTATCTCTGCTACATATAATTATAGCTACAATAGTGAAATATAACACACATGATTTCACTTCGCATTGTATTCAAACGGTACTTTATGAGTTGGGACTAAATATTAAAAAAAAAAGAAAATAAAAAGGAAAAGAAAAAAAAAACTACATTGACCATCATCGAAACTTCCCACCAAGCTGCTTAGTACAGTTACTAAAAACAAAAGTTTTTTTTTTTTTTCTTCTGTAAAAACAGATTTAAAAAATCTTTGTACAAAGAATGTTAAGAGCATAAACTTTTTTCCTTGAAGTATTTAACAAGTTAATAAAAAAATGAAATATTTGGAGGATCCTACTGTCAGCATATTATACATATTCATAAGACAGTTGTGTTTAAATTAATTCTAAATGATACATTCAGAAATGTGTCCCCTTTCCCAAAAAATTAAATAACAATTAAGTCTTACAATCTCAAAAAAAAAAAAAAAAAAAAAATAGGATTCCTGATAAACTTTGAAGATCAACACAAAGGTCAACCTACACTTTCACTGAACATGCAATTTGTACACAGATGACCTTACAGATTTTAAGAGAAACTAGAACCCATAATGCATGATGTTCCTATAGTAAAAATAATCAAATAAGCAAATGTAGAGAATAAAGTTTACAGACAATTTCTTTTTATGAGACACTGAGAATTTCACATTTGGTCTTTTAAGATAACAATATTTTTCAAAAATAAGATTTGGATATAAGCTCTCCAGTGGACAGAACATACTCTGATTTTGCAATCTTCTAGTAGTAAAAAAGATATGCACTTGTAGCTAGGCTTAACTATAGGAACAACATGAATTAAAGCTTAAGTTTTTCTTTGAAAACGGCATTGTGCAGATTGACAAAATAGTTACAGTTAAGACGCCAGTGATTACTTTTTATCCAAACAAATAGCTTTTGAAATTGAAACTTCAAGGTGATTAATTGCATCTTACTATGCTTCTCCATGATTGGAGACATTACAATACCCTTGGACCAGATTCTTCAAAAAAAGAATCTAAGAACCACTATGTACACAAACGTTTGACACATACTCAAACACTGACAAAGCCAACTTTTCGTTTCCGTCTGATTTACAGAAATATTACTAAAGAAGTTCCTTTTCACTGAAAAATAAAATGGACGTAAATTCATCTCACCCATTCCTTTCTCAAAATAACATATGTGAGTAATGGGCTCTGACTCTTTATATCAAAGATTGGCATGTTAAGCATAAGCAAGGCATGGACTATCCTTAAAAGTTTAACTACCTGTGTGGAAATATACCTGAAATATAATGTGCATTAAAAGCTAGAGGAGATTACCTAAGGAATGCATTTTCTATCAGTTAGTATTCAGAATTTCATACTGTAAACAAAGCAACAGATCTGTTCTTTTTTGGGTTTTGGGGGGATTTAAACAAATTAAGGCTTAAACATGATTTTTAAATTAGGAGAAATGTGAATAAAAAAAAAAAGCGCTACTGAATTTAATATAGTATTTCCTATATTTATTTTTTGGCACATAGTAAAGTCACTTGGGGGATGCAGTTCAATTTAATTTTTATCTAAATAAATTTAGCAAATGTCAAACAAAAACATCTCTCCATACAATTCTGGGTGACTTTATATTTGCATTACCTGATTTACAGCCTGCTTTCACTTTACTTCTTTAAATTAGCCATGTACAAATTTAAACCAGGAAACTGAAGAAACAACATAATTGACATTAAGCTAAACAAATGTCTCAAAGTAGACAGGCTTGCAAAAATGCATAATATGAAATAAGTCAACTGACATCCCACAAGATGTTATCATGAATCTATACTTTAATCTGGGAAGGGAAATTTCTCATTTTGCTTTCTGTGAAACAAAAAAAATCTTTTTACACATTTTCAAATTTCAGAAATCCACACAAAAGGTCCGCTTTTTTTAAAATGGGATATCCGTAATGCAATACTGTTTAACGGGAGCTATGAGGTAATTGGTTTACAAAAGTCACTGAATCCCAAGAGTCAGATCAATAATTACAAGACCATTAGAAAATAAAATGTAGGTAAATGATGAGTCCTATTGAGAATCTTTGCACAGCTGTTTTGTTCCTCCCTAGTGAAACAAAGGCACAAACATATTCTTGTTTAGCTTTAAAACATTTAAAAAAGTGTTCCATCACAGAGGAAATTACAAAAGATTTGAGGTCTTATCTTAATCCATGAGATATACAGAATGCACAGATGTTAACAGAATTATTGTTAATAGAAAATAGATGACCACAATAAAAGGTATGCATATACATAGAATAATTAACAGAATGACAATAATCGTTACTTTTAAAAAATTGCTACAAAATTTTTCAAGGTTCCAACAGAAATCTTTTTGCTATTGCATCTGAATAATACAAACTTCTACTATCATATTTTAATGTAAAATTATTGCTAACTTCTCCATTTCTATTTCTTATACATATCAAGTAGCTAGATTTTCAGACTGGCACCTTATTAGGAAACAATTTAAAAAGTTACAGGAATGTAGACTGTACATTTTGAGAATTGATTTAAAAAGTCCAAACATTTGGAATTTACTCTTCTGTGGAATAGAGTACATCTATATGCCAACCATAATACATATAATTCAAATGGTCGAGTACTTTAATACTTTTCTACAAATTTTTAAATATAGCTCATAGAGGAAAAGGAAAAGTAACTGAAAATATGAATATAAAAAATAAAGTATAGCAGTACAATTTACTTTTTGTCTTAATTAGTACATGGATTGGCATGTAATGTCAACATATTACGTGGTGTCTATAAAAAAAAAACCCCACCAAAATTCATTACTACGACTTAGTTCTATTTTAATTTATTATTCTGCAATTCTGACATGTATATTAATTATAAAAAACAATTAAATTTAAGCAAAGTGCTCAAATTATTACATTTTGTTTTCTAGTACTACAATATATTCACAATCAACTCTCAATGTTCGTTTGCATATTTCTCATTGGCTCCTTGAAACAGAATCATTCTTATAGTCTCCCTAAATTTTATCAGCCTTTGGTTTTGGAAGAATTTCACTTCTGTAAGACCTTGAAAAATGTAGCAATGTTTTGTTTAGGCTTTTTCATATAGAGACAAATTATATTATATTTAGGTTACATGTCAAACTGATTTAATTTAAAAAAGTACACAAAAGTTATGTTAAGTGTTTAATGACCATCAAATGGGGACTTACATCGTAGTCACATTGCTTTGAAAAAAAAGTGAATGCATCAGGTAGTTTTAATGGGATGTTTAAAATGTGTTTTTTATTTATATATAATACACATACATACACACATATATGTGAATATTTCACTATTGATTGAGCTAATTTAACTGCTAAATGCAATACTTTTGTTTAAAAGCAAATCTACATACAACATTTAGTATGTATCATCCTGTTGTGAATTAGAGTGAATGATTACTTTGGTTACCTAAAAACTAAAGAGTCCTTTTCAAATGAAATTCTTCAGAATGAAGCTTAGAGTCGATGTATTCACTCTCATGAACACATCATGCTGTGATGAAAAGATTCTTTTTCCACTAAACACATAACATAACTTATGTTACAGTAATGTAAATTGCCTACAGAAAAAAAAAGAAGATCTTGTAGTTTGTACAATAAAATCCCACATACTGATTATGGTTATTTTCCATATGTTCCAGGTTTGGTTGTGTAGTATTAACATAATATAAAAGCTTCCAAAAATCATGCTAAAATTGGCATTTAAAAAAAAAAAAAAGTTAGGCACACAATGTGCCATTTTTGCAACAACATTCTAATCACATGATCATACTGTCTAAAAAGACATACATCTTAATAGAAGGCTATCAAATCAAATATGGCACTTGTACTTAGGACATTAAAGCTTCTGAGATTTGCTTCTTTTTAATTAGGGAAGGAAAAACAGAACAGCTGCAAAGTTCAGTTAGACATAATTGAGATGACAGTAAGCCTTTCCTAATAAAAAATAAATAATGAAAAAAAGTTGGATATCCAAGGTGCAGTTAAATAAAAAGACCAAATAGTCTTTGTTAACAGTATTTGTGAATAAAGGCACATTAACAAACACATAAAAGTATATACGTAGCTTAGGTTTAGGTAATTGGAATAACCATGTTAACCCCCAATCACCCCCTTCTCCTCACAAAAAAAAATTAATATGGAGGGCAAAGTAGGAAACTACCAACTGCAAGTCCTTTAAATGTCACTCTGCAGCCAAAGACAATCCAGATTAGGAATGAGAGAAAAAGAAAAGGCTTACTGTCGTTTAAAAGTATACATGGCTAAACAGCCATTACAAATGTATGAATGATACCAAATTATCTTATTTAGGCAGTTCATCTACAAATTTATACAATTATTTACAATGGTGCTCTTATAAAAACAAAAAGGTAGCACTTCCTAAGAGATTCTGAAAATTATTTTTTTTTTCTTTTCTTTTTTTTTTTTTTTTTTTAAATTCCCTTGTCAGAAAAGCCAACTTACATTAAAATATACTTACTACAAGACAACACAACTAAAAATATATAATAAACTTATACAAGTACAAAATTCTGAGGTATTTCTGGTTTGAGGTGGTCTATGGTCATGACATTTTTTGAAATTTTATCTATTTTTTTCTTTTGTAATTGAACTCTATCATATATTGGATAAAACACAATGCATAAACTGCGCAGTCACCCAACACTTGAAGAGGTCTACCTTGGAAGCCACGTAAATTGAATGTGTTTAAAAAAAAAAAAAAAACATTGCTTGTTTTGCAGATGAAAATGTATCCAAGTATTGAATCAGCAGCATCAGAAACATTCACTGACTTGAGCAAGGTTATGGCAAATCTAGTGGGATCTGAATATGCACCAAGCTAGGTTGTAAATTCCAAGGTACAGAGAAGGAATACCTTACAGCAACACTAATGCAGGTAAATAGGATGTTTACATGCATCACTTGAACAGATTGTTTTTGTTTAAAGCTATTAATGGTTGCTAAGCCCATGACCCGTTGATACTAATGTGGAGTCACCTGGTTACCTAACAAGGCAGCTGACATTTCCTGAACATTTAAAAATACATTTCCAGTATATCAGTATTATAAATTGCCTATATGGACCAGGTCTTCACAACCTAAACTATGGAGATGTTGTAATGGTCCCTCACATCCTATCACAGCCAATATTTAGAACATGAACATTCTCCATAGCCATAGGACTGTAAGATCATCATTCTTAGGTTATACTTGACCACACCATGAGACTGTTGAGGTCTTCCTTTCTCTGTCCTGGTTTAGTATGGCAATGCTCTGCACTGAAAAAGCATCCTTCCCCTTTTAAATAATTTTACCTGAGGAGTAGCTTCATAGCAATAAACCATTTGCCAAATGCTGCAATGTGCAACCACCATCTGCCCTGCCCACAAAAAGAACCTCTAAAATATTTCGCTCTCAAAATGAGAGAACATTCTGTTTTTGAGTTTCTCTACATGTTACAAAGACACCCGTTAGATCCGTAAAAGACACAACAGACAATTTTTGGAGAGCTAGGTCCAGAAGGTAAGAATAGAAGGTGATCACGGTTGTTGAGAGGAAATCCTGTTTGTGGAAGGTGTATCTTATGTAACAGTCTTTAGCTTACTACAAAGTTTTGCAGCATTTTGTAGGTGGTCTCCAATGGGTCCTCTCCTGAGAACCTCACACGTTAAGAGAAACCAACATATTACCTAAAAAGGAGTTTGTTGAGGTTCTGAAGTACCTTCACCTTTTTGCATTCATAAGTCGGCACCTGAATGCTTGCTGAGATGTTCGTATTCTTATTTTTTTTTTTTACAGTTTTTGAATTTTTTTAATATTCATATATTTATATATATATGTACATAATAGAACAACGTGCTGGTAAAATTGATCCAACCCTATCCCAACAAGAATCAAAATAAAAAAAAAAAAAAAAAAAAAAAAAAAAAAAAAAATTCAACAAAAACCCATAATAATAAAAAAAAGTCAAGTCAAAATAGCAGCTGCATTCGTGTGTATGTGTGTAGGTGCATTTTTTTCCTTTTTTTATATATATTTATATAGACTTTTTTTTTTCATATATTTTTCTGCTGTTTTGAACCTTGAGTCTGGAAAGACAAAAACAACAATGACTCAGATACTGGACTCTTTGGGCGGCAAGTCCACATTGGTGACAGATGTAACAATGGATACAAGGCAGTCCGAGGTTAGTGCCATTCACTGATTTGCGGATCTGAGAAATGCGTTCCTCTACACAGCCTGCAGACAGCCGCGCTTCCGCATCATGGTCCCAGCACTCTTCAATTGTGACACACAACTGTGCCAAACCCTGACAACAGAAAAGGTTACAGTAAATGCTTGCTATCTATATCAAGTCAACCAAAAATGTTACAACGTTTGGGCAGATCTGTAAAAATAGACGCTAAATTATAAAGGTTGCCCATAGCACCTGAAAATCCACCATTGTAACGCCTGTTCCCACACTGGTACATCACTGATGTGTAAGGACTTACTCTAGTGAGAACAAACAGTTTTTTTTCTAATGTAATGTGGTATCACTGCCAGCTCAGTACCATTGTAGACACTAGTGCAAAAGATAAGAAATCCATGATGACCTCTGCTGTTTAATAAAACAGGTCGTTTTTAAAGAAAACCTTTCATAAGAGAAACATGGAGGCTGTTGTTGTTGACCTTTTCATCTGAAAATTATTGTCACCCAAATAATGCAGGCTCTCTTACTTCTACTCTTTGGGTCACTTACACAGACTAAGTATGCAAATAATGACTTCAGACTTTTTTGATATGTAACTTTCTGATCCATGCCACTGATTCAGAGGGGTCAACATAGGAGCCAGGAAAATAGCATGATCAGAAAGAGGTAAGCAATGACAGCCACCATATTTCTCTCATTGCTACTTAAAGTGTAAGCTCACCTGTGCAATTCCATATCCTTTTAGTAGCACATGCCAATGCTCCTCCTGTTTTAAATGCTACATGTCCTCCCATTACACATGCAGCTGTTAGGGGGGGGGAGTTCTCTACAAAAATTGCCAATACCTTGTCTCCTCTCCATCCTTCCATTTGCATTTGAATTTTGTCAATTCAACTGAATTGACATTTGAATTGTGCACCCCCTCTAGTGGCTGATCCAAACTGAGTGTATGCTCTCTTCTATTCCAGGTGAATTCAACAAGAGAAGAAAGAGGGCGGTCATTAATGACCGGCTTGGAGAAGCTGGAGCAGTCACTACGGAGTTCAGCTAGAGCAGGGGAAAGAATGCTGCAGTCTGAATAGCCCAGAGGAGCCACACAATTTACATGTCCAGAGTCCTGCAAATAGCAGGATGAAAAGGGATCTGGGAGGGCTAGCCATTTCTGTGGAGAGGCCTCCCAACAGCTACATGTGTAGTAGAAGATGGGCACCATTTAAAACAGAAGGAGCACTGCTATGCACTATTCAGGGGGTATGGAATTGCAGAGGGTTATTTGGGGAAAATCTTGCTGAGGGTTCACTGTACCGGTCTGCTGCCGGTACCATGTAATCACTGTGACCAATCACAGCAGATCACATAACAATTGTAAACAATTAATGGCTTTGATTGAAGCCATTCATTGTGTACAATTGTGTTGCTAGCTGTGACTGGTCATAGTGATCACATAGGACAGACAGGGTTAATCAAAGCCCATCTGTGCCATGTGATTAGCTGTGGCCAATCATCACAGCTGATCACTATAATACACACTGAAAAAAGAATCAATTTTATGCAGTAAAAATGGTTGCTTACACTAGTGAAATTTACTGGTATAGGCAATCATAATGTGTAAAAAAAATTCCTTATCACTTCCCCAAAGTAGTACAATGTTACTATAGTAGCACTGTATTGCTCTGGTCACAGTGTGAAAAAAACAAATTTAATCAAAAGAAAAAAAATGTAATTTAAATAAAAAAAAAAAAAAAAAATATATATATATATATATATATATATATATATATATATATATATATATATATATATACACACACACACACACACACAGTTGTGCTCAAAAGTTTGCATACACTGGCAGAAATTGTGAAATGTTGGCATTGATATTGAAAATATGTCTGAGCATGCCAAAAAATGTTCTTTTATTGAAGGATGATGATCATATGAAGTCATTTATTATCAAATAGTTGTTTGGCTCCTTTTTAAATAGTGATAACAGAAATCACCCGAATAATTCTTCTGGCAGTTGTGGCAATCTTTCTTGGTCTACCTGACCTTGGCATCAAGAGATCCCCGAACTTTCCACTTCTTAAAAGGTGATTTTACAGTACTGATTGGCATATTCAAGGCTTTGGACATCTTTTTATGTCCTTTTCCATCTTTATAAAGTTCCATTACCTTGTTACGCAGGACTTTTGACAGTTCTTTTCTGATCCCCATGGCTCAGTATCTAGCCTAGTCAGTGCTTCCACATAAGAGCTAACAAACGCATTGACTATTTATACACTGACACTAATTGCAATTTAAAAGCCACAGATGTGGGACATTAACCTCTAATTGGCATTTTAACCCGTGTGTCTCACCTTGTATGTCTGTACCAAGGCCAAACATTCCAGGGTATGTAAACTTTTGCTGATTGCCATTTGGGTGATTTCTGTTATCATTATGATTTAAAAATGAGCCAAACAACTATTTGATAATAAATGGCTTCATATGATCATCATCCTTCAATAAAGGAGCATTTTTTTGGCATGATCAGTCATATTTTCAATATCAATGCCAAAATTTCACAATTTCTGCCAGGGCATGCAAACATTTGCACACAACTGCATATTTTTTTTTTGCATACTGTCACCAGTCAGTGACCCTGATCACAGCCACACCAGTTATATGATGAAGCTGTACTACACTGGTGACAATATGTTGAAAAAAAAATTACAAAACAAATTTCATTTTTAAAAAAAATTGTGACAGAGGTCATTTAGATATATATACATATATATATACATACACGCATACATACGCCATAGTTTGTAGACTCTAAAACTTTCCTGCAGACTAATAAACACTTATTTGGGTTATTTTCACCAAAGAAATGTAGCAGAATACATTTTGGCCTAAATTTATGAAGAATGATTATTTATTTGCTAAATTTTATAACAGAAATGAAGGAAAACACTTTTTGGTCTTTTTTTCATTTATTTGGCAAAAAATTTAAAACCCAGTGGTGATTAAATACCACCAAAAGAAAACTGTATTTGTGTGAAAAAAATAAAAATTTCATATGCGTACAGTGTTACCTGACCACGCAATTGTCATTCAAAGTGTGACAGCGCTGAAAGCCGAAAATTGGTCTGGGCAGGAAAGGGGTGAAAGTGCCCGGTACTGAAGTGGTTAAAACTGGTCAGAAACTAAAGCTAGCTTACAGGCAGACCAGCTCTTCTGCCATGCCAGACCTGCCCAATTGTAAGTGCAGACAGATGTCCTCTAGAATCAATTCAGCATGATGTCTACATCTAGGCCAGTGGAGTAAAGCTATGTTTTGTCATGCATCAATTCTGACTCTGCAAATTAGTTTGATAAAAGAACAGAGGGAAGATGAAAAAAAAACGCATTCAAGTTCGTGGCATTTGGAAATCAGGAGGTGATAATCCAAAGCAGGGTGAGACTATTTTAATGAAATAAAGTTAAGTTGCACTTACTGGATGTTTTAACCAGTGGTCTTTAAATACAGGGCGCAGCTTCTTGTGCACCACTATTTCCTGTAAGTCTTCTAAAGAAGGATGTTGACCAATCTCTTCTTCAAACGGTAACATATACTCATCAACAGGCCCTGAAAAAACAAATAGAAACAAATACTCATTAGGCCTGGACAAACCCAGATTTTTTTTTAATGCCTAAAGCTGAAGTTTAACCATAATTAAAAAAAAAAAAAAAAAATATTAAGAGCTTTTGTAAGCTAACACATGAAGTATGTCCCACATTGCGAAAGCAGCCGGACAAACCCAGATTTTTTTTTAATGCCTAAAGCTGAAGTTTAACCATAATTAAAAAAAAACAAAAAAAACATTAAGAGCTTTTGTAAGCTAACACATGAAGTACAGTTGTGGCCAAAATTATTCAACCCCCACTGAAATTGAGTGTTTTGGCCAGTTTGACATTGCTTTTGATCATTCAGTCATCTTGCTTACATTTACATTAAAGAGGCACTTGTAGGTCAGACAAATATAACATAACAGTTATAATGAAATAACCACAAATGTCTTTTCTGTGCTCACAGCATTATCAGTTTTATTCAACCCCCAAGTGACATTCAATCTTAGTACTTAGTACAGCATCCTTTTACAGTTATAACAGCTTTTAAACGTGAAGCATAGCTTGACACAAGTGTCTTGCAGCTTTTACGGGTATCTTCGCCCATTCTTCATGGGCAAAGGCCTCCAGTTCAGTCACATTCTTAGGCTTGCGCACTGCAACTGCTTTCTTTAAGTCCCACCAGAGGTTCTCAATCGGATTTAAGTCTGGTGACTGCGATGGCCACTCCAAAATGTTCCAGCCTTTCCTCTGCAACCATGCTCTAGTGGACTTGGAGGTATGCTTGGGATCATTGTCCTGTTGAAAGGTCCAACGTCTCCCAAGCCTCAGGTGTGTGACGGACTGCATCACGTTTCCATCCAATATCTCCTGGTACTGAAGAGAATTCATGGTACCTTGCACACGCTGAAGCTTCCCTGTACCTGCAGAAGCAAAACAGCCCCAAAGCATGATTGACCTCCACCATGCTTCACAGTAGGCAAGGTGTTCTTTTCATCATAGGCCTTGTTCTTCCTCCTCCAAACATAGCGTTGATCCATGGGCCAAAACAGTTCTAATTTTGTTTCATCAGTCCACAGAACACTATCCCACAACTTTTGTGGGTTTGTCCACATGGCTTTTGGCATACTGCAGTCGACTCTTCTTATTCTTTGGAGACAGCAAGGGGGTACGCCTGGGAGTTCTGGCACGGAGGCCTTCATTACGCAGTGTGCGTCTTATTGTCTGGGCTGAAACTTCTGTACCCACATCTGACAAATCTTTTCTCAGTTCCTCAGCAGTCACACGGGGACTTCTCTCCACTCTACGCTTCAGGTAGCGCACAGCAGTCGAAGTCAGCATCTTCTTTCTGCCACGACCAGGTAGCGTTTCAACAGTGCCCTTTGCCCTTGAATTTGCGAATGATGCTTCCTAAGGTGTCTCTTGGTATGTTTAACATCTTTGCAATCTTCTTATAGCCATTGCCCCCTGTGAAAGAGAAATCACCTCTTCTCTTGTCTTCCTGGACCATTCTCTTGCCTTCACCATGTTTGTAACCACACCAGTAAATGTCTAGAAGGAGCTGAGTATCACAGTCATTTTAAAGCTGCCTAATTGGTGCTTATTATGCTTGATTGCTGCTCGGTGACATCCACAGGTGTTTTCAATACCTGATGGAAAGCACCTGTATGAACCTCTGTTCTTCAGAGTGGTAGTCTTTAAGGGGTTGAATAATTGTGGCAATGAAGAAACCACATAAGAACCATTTACTACTGTATTACATAAACAATTGATGTCATTTTAGTTGCATTTGGGTAGTTACAACGTCCTTGTAGGATTTGATTCTGAATACAATTCCAAATGTACACTATAGTCCCTAAACCCCTTTACAGCATTGGGGGTTGAATAATTTTGGCCACAACTGTATGTCCCACATTGCGAAAGCAGCTGGATCCTGTAGGAATCTTCTCTGCAGGGATGCCCTGTCCTCTGTTTCCAGCACTGCAGGGTTAAATAGCACCAGGTCTTCTTTAAAGCTGCTGTGAATAAGTTCCTGACATGACCCACTCTTATTGCTTTAACTGCCTGTAACATGATCTGTAAATAATACACACTGAAAAAAAAATCAATTTTATGCAGTAAAAATGGTTGCTAGTTAAATGTACTGGTATAAGCAATCATAATGTGTAAAAAAATTCCTTATCACTTCCCCAAAATAGTACAATGTTACTTCTTCCATTCCCAGACCTTGTTACATGAAATAATGTTTCTCAAAAGAGGAGGGAGGAGCGGGCGGCGGTTCCTCATTGGGAACTTTTCCATTGCAGCTTCTCAGAAGACCCAAAGCTATTAACTATTGCAAAGCAGAGGTTCAGAGACAGAAGAGGACAGGCCATCTTATCCCTGCAATGAAGATTTCTACAGGCTCCAGCTGCCTGCACCATGGGACATCCTTTCTAGTCAGCTAGCTCACTAAAGCTATAAAGAACGTTTGACGTTTTTTTTTTTCGTTTGTTTTTTTTAATTGGCAAAACTTCAGCTTTAATAACATAATATTAAAACACTGTGAATGCCATTCTGTAAACATTCATATCTGTTTTTCATTATCCTTTTATCACTGCAGATATGGAAGTAGGCTTAAAACACATGCATTATTGACAATTGAAAAGAATGTACAAGTGGCAGAAGCAGTATTACACCGAGGGATTAGCAGAAGAGTCAAGAACCTTATCTCTAAGGAGGAACCACTCTGAATAGAGTCTTCTTGACTTAAAGCTGAACTCCAGCCAGGAAAAAACTTTATTGTTTATCTCTTTGTCTGCTTCAAGGCAATCTTATCCTTTTTATTTTTAAACCCCTTAATGCCTGAAGGTAAAACAATCATCGCAAAGCAGAAGTTCAGAGACAGAAGAGGACAGGCCATCTTATCCCTGCAATGAAGATTTCTAAAGGATCCAGCTGCCTTTACCATGGGACATCCTTTATTACAGGTTGCCTAGCACACTAAAACTATAAAGAACTTTTGAAGGTTTTTTTGTTTTTTAATTAGCAAAACGTCAGCTTTAATAACATAGTATTAAAACACTGTGAATGCCATTATGTAAACATTCATATCTGTTTTTCATTTTTCTTTTATCACTGCAGATAAAGAAGCAGGGTCAAAACACATGTATTATTGACTATTGAAAAGAATGTACAAGTGGCAGAAGCAGTATTACACAAAGAGATTAGCAGAAGAGTCAAGAACCTTATCTCTAAGGAGGAACCACTCTGAACAGAGTCTTCTTGACTTAAAGCTGAACTCCAGCCAGGAAAAAAAACTTTACTGTTTATCTCTTTGTCTGCTTCAAGGCAATCTTATCTTTTTTTAACCCCTTAATGCCTGAAGGTAAAACAAATCTTAAAAGATAAGCTCACATTTTAGATGACAATAATAAATGAAAATTTTTTTTCAGGTACAAAAATGTGCATTTATTATTTTTGTCTATAGGAGCCTGGAAAGCATTGCACCAGTGATCAGTAGACTGCTGTGGTGTCATGTAGGTCTCCTGCAGACCTGTCAGAATATCTGCTTGCTGTACAGGACGTACGAGCAAGCACATATTCTGATAGGAAGCTTCAATGAATTACCACGGCACTCCACAGGGCTGTGGTAGTTCACTGAAACTACAAGCCAACACCCGCTAACAGGAGAAGTTTCCCCGTACTATCTGTCAGCAGGGGGGGGGGAGCGGCAGCGGGTGGCGGCTGCTATGGCTATGGGAGCATGTTACATGCTCCACCGTAAAAACTGGTGGAACATGTAACATGTTCCAAAAGGTGAACTTGTCCTTTAATGTCTGAATGCAGTTTTGCAATATTCTTTAAACTTTAAGCTGCGATTGCTGTAAACCATTACCAAAAAAATCCATAAATTCTCCATACTTGTTTATATTTGCTGTTTTTACCTGTAGTAGGGCAAAGAAACAACAGTGCATTTTTTTCCATCCTACCTTAACACGCTGACACTAAATAGTCTTTTGTTTTTTTTTTTATCCTACATACACACACACTAAAAACACAACATTTTTGCTTTTTTTTTTTTACTGACCATACCTACATACTTTTCTCACTTTGGACCCATCTCTAACTTTTGACCATGACCCACATCAAGCCCCGATCCCGCTATTTTATTATTTGTTATTGTTTACATACTTCTCTGACTAGGTGAAAAAGATACAATTTCCCTATTCGGAGGAGAAAGAGCACAGGGGGGCAGGGGTTTTACAAAGCTAATGACATGCTTTCAGTGTGATCACATGATCGACAGCCAGTCCTCCCAGCTCCCAAATGTCAGGCTCCATGCCCATGGGTAGAAAACGCCAGTGCCCATATATGCTCTGAAAAGTGAGATGGTGCATCTGGCAGTGCCCATGTCCCACCACGATGACATATATGCTGTCTAATTGTTTGGCAAGCAGTCACTGAAATCGTCTACAAGAAGTAGTGCACGAGTGATAACATTAAAGTGTGGGGGGGCATAAGACTGGTTGGATGAATGGAAACTGGGATTTGGTGGCTTTGATTAACTTGCATTACAGGATAAGTTTACTTTTTTAGGAAAAAATAATAAATGTCCATTTTTTTTGCAGTTTTGGAAAGCCTTGCAGAACTCTGTGTACCTGTGTGCTCATACCTCGTACGGCCAAGCAGCTACACTGTGACAGGTAAAATCAATGAACTATCACTGGGCTCAACACCGCTGTGGTAGTTCATTGAGAACAAGCTGACATCCGCAAAAGGAACTTGTAATTCATTCATTCCCTGAACTCTGTGAATAAATGACATGACTGTGTGGGCGGAGCCCTGGACAGCTGTGCTGTTTTCAAAAAGTGACAGCTAGCACAGGGAACTTCTCCCAGTACTGCTGTCACAGGGAGAGAGGACTGCAGAGGCAACGGCTGCAGCAGTGGGAACAAGTTACATGTTCCACCATAAAAATGGGTGGAACATCTAACATGTTCCCAAAGGTGAACTTATCCTTTAATAACTGGAACAAACGCAGTAGAAGATCACAAGATCAAGGTTTAAGGTAGGTATATGGGGGTCTTAGAATTGCTAAGTAGATGAATCCAGGCTGTCATTAAGGGCCCATAAATCAAAGGATATCCGCCTCCCTCTGACAGTCATAAGTTACTGCTTTTTGAATGCATCTGGGGCTGGGGAAAGGGGAAGAGGTGGAGATGAAGGCTTAGTCCTCATGCACACTGGACATTTTTACAGCGGCTGTTTTTGGCTTTTGACATTTTTTTCTACAGCCAGTAAACTCCCCAGCATGTTATCCTATGTGTTCATGCACACACAGGCTGTAATCAGCGTTTTTTGGCTGGAAAAAAACCCAGGACTAGTGGGTTTTTAGAGGAGTTATTTTAGCTGTAAAAATGCTCTAACGTTGCAAAACGCAGTAAACCGTGGTAAATCGTGGTAAACCAGCATTTTTGGATGTTTTTTATCAGTAAAGAATAAAAAAACGTGAAGAAAAAACACAGCACAACGCTAATGCAAAAAATGCTGAAAAACTCACGTTTTTAATGTGACTTCACACAGCTAACGTTACCAGCGTTATTAAAACGCCCAGTTTGCATGGAGCTTTAAAGTTTGACTTTTGATAAAATCTCACGGCTTGTTTTCTTTTGGTGAATCTTAACTGGATACACAGTTGTTGCTATAGCTGACTATAAGGCTCAGTGACAACGCTACAATTCGCTTGGAATTTATGCAAAATACACCTATTACTGACTGAAATACATTTTCTCTTAACAACAAAAATACAAGAGAAAAAGATTCTGTAGGCGCTACAAAATCACTAGTGTGACAGGGACCTAACAACACAGATCATTAGACTACAGAGAGTGCCTATGAAAAAAGCTGAAGGAGCAATGGATGAAGCTGCTGCTATGTTTGCATGTTTTGGGAGTGGAGGGGTTCATTTTATGAGATATCCTTATAGCCTAATACATTTAAAAAATCTGAACAAAGTAACAAAAATTCTAGTTATAAACATTAAGTCATACACAATGTATGCCACAATATCTTGTAAGCAAATCATCTTAAGATATCTCTAGGGGAGCTAAAGACTTACCATCAGCAGCTGTACATCTAGATACAATCTCCCACAGGACGAGCCCCATGGCATACATGTCTATCCTGAGAAAGGCATCTCGCTGGAAGTTAATTGCTCCTTCTAGCACCTCTGGAGCCATATACCTCCTGGTTCCAACCTAGATAAATACAACAAAATTTGCCATCTTATTGTATAGGAAATCTAAAATCATATTATATATCTCATGGATGTCAAACTGGCGGCCCTCCATCTGTTGCCAAACTACAAGTCCCATGAGGCACTGCAAGGTTGACAGTTACAAGCATGACTCCCAAAGGCAGAGGCATGATGGGTCTGGTAGTTTTGCAACAGCTGGAGGGCTGCCACTTTGACACCCCTGAGTCTAGTGAAAGTCAGATATCAAGTACATAAAAAGACAAAACCCTTTTTTTTCCATTTTGGTTTTTTTTGCCCTCTGTATATCATTGGAGAGATTTGCCTTTACCTACTGTATTTCTGTACTGTAGACACAACAGAAAGTAAGGGAAAAGCTCACTAGTGTAGGAAATATTCCATCTATTTTAGCAGTAACCAGGACAAACAGATGGGAACATATCTCCTTGATGGGAACACAGACAACAACTACACCCTGTTCCAAATTATTATGCAAATTCTATTTAAGTGTCACAAAGATTAAATATTTTGTTTTTCAGTTTAACTCATGGATGGCATTGTGTGTCAGGGCTCTTTTGATCACTGAAAACAATCTCGGACACCTGTGATAATTAGATTGGCCGGTGAGCCCAATTTAAGGAAAAACTACAAAAAGGAGGGTGTTCCACATTATTAAGCAGAGCACCATTTTCAAGCAATATGGGGAAGAAAAAGGATCTCTCTGCTGCCGAAAAGAGTGAAATAGTTCAATGCCTTGGACGAGGTATGAAAACATTGGATATTTCACGAAAACGTAAGCGTGATCATCGCACTATTAAGAGATTTGTGGCTGATTCAGAGCACAGACGGGTTCGTGCAGATAAATGCACATTGAGGAATATTTCTGCCAGATCCATGCATCGGATCAAGAGAGCAGCTGCTAAAATACCATTACATACAAGCAAACAGATATTTGAAGCTGCTGGTACCTCTGGAGTCCCACGGACATCAAGGTGTAGAGTCCTCCAGAGTCTTGCAACTGTGCATAAACCTTCTATTCGGCCACCACTAACCAATGCTCACAAGCAGAAACGGCTGCATTGGGCAGAAAAATACATGAAGACTAATTTTCAAACAGTCCTGTTCACTGATGAGTGCCGTGCAACCCTGGATGGTTCAGATGGATGGAGTAGTGGATGGTTGGTGGACGGCCACCCTGTTCCAAGAAGGCTGCAACGTCAGCAAGGTAGTGGGTGGAGTCATGTTTTGGGCTGGAATCATGGGAACAGAGCTGCTCAGCCCCTTTAGGGTCCCCGAAGGTGTAAAGATGTGGAGTTTATGACTGACCACTTTCTTCCCTGGTACAGAAGGAAGAACTATGCTTTCTGTAATAAAATCATCTTCATGCATGACAATGCACCATCTCATGCTGCAAAGAATACCTCTGCATCAATGGCTGCTATGGGGATAAAACAAGAGAAAGGCATGATGTGGCCTCCATCCTCCCCTGACCTCAATCCTATTGAGAACCTTTAGAGCATCATCAAGCAAAAGATCTATGAGGGTGGGAGGCAGTTTACATCCAAACAGCAGCTCTGGGAAGCTATTCTGACATCTTGCAAACAAATTCAAGCAGAAACTGTCCAAAAACTCACAAGTTCAATAGATGCAAGACTTGTGAAGCTGCTATCAAATAAATGGCCTCTGTTAAAATGTAACGTGACCTGTTAAAATGTTTAAAAAGTTAAAATGTTGTTAAAAGTTTGATTGAAATAGCTTTTGATTTCAGTAAATATGCTGCAAACAAATGACAATTTTCAGTTCTTTACAACCTATAAAGTGTTTTGAAACTTACTGTGCGTAATAATTTGGAACATTGCATTGTAAGTTTTTTATGTTTAACAAAAATACTGTTATCATTAGGAGGTTTGTTCAATAAAATTTGAATTGTACTCTTAATAGTTGATAACATGAGAATTATGCTGACTGTTATTTCCATCAAATATTTAGGTAAATGAGAAAAATATCATTTGCATAATAATTTGGAACAGGGTGTAATTACTAAAATAAGTTCAAAATTGTCTCTGTATAATTGAAGATCAGAGGTTATATATTCACCAACTTCTTCCTGTGAATCCAATCTTCCTATGCAGTGACATTTATAATAAATAACCATATGTGTATTTATTCACCAGTGTTCTTTTTTCTACACTTATCCTTCATATACTTGGTGTATATTATGCGGTGGTAGCATGCCTTTTGACACACTGACTTATGAAAGGCAGTGCTCCCTGTCACTGTGCGTGCAGCCTTGTACTTCCGTCTATTGGAGTGTTGCAAAATTAGTCTCAAAACTTTTTGATACTATCTCGCACCTCATATAATGTAAGTGGCTTTCTATCTGAGAGAGATTTTTAGAAAACAGTATTGCGCTATATTGGTATTTTGTGTAAAACCATGTGGATCTTCATGTGAGACTATCATTGAAGTATCAGACACAAGGAGACACAGCACTCAAGTGAATCTGAGAATAACTGATTGGATATACACCAAGTATATGAAGGTTAAGGGCAGATAAAGAACACAACACTGGTGAATAAATACACATATGGTTATTTATTATAAATATCACAGTATAGGAAGATTGGATTCACAGGAAGAAGTTGATGGATATCTGACGTCTGATCTTCGATTATACAGAGACAATATTGAGCTTATCATTTTGAGAGTGCTGGTTCCCAGAGCCATGTATTACTGTCTTTTTTATCTTCATGGATTGAATGATAGAGAAGTCTGCTGTTTGTACATTGGGCCGCTACTTCCTTTCTTCATGTTTACTGACTGCAGTTGTGGATCGAGCAGGCACACAGATACATCCAGCAGCATGGGATCTCTGGCAGGTGAGCCTTGAGCGTTGTGTACCCTGTATGCCGTTTCCATGTGCATGTTTGTGTTTGTCTATGGATCTCCTTTTACAGCAGAATATGTTATGGTTAGCACATCTAAAGCCAAAACCTTTTTTTAAAGCAGAGTTCCACTCAAAAGCAGAAGTCTGATTTGCCTCCTCTCCCCTCCACTGCCATATCTGGCACCTTTTGGGGGGAAGCGGATACTTGACTATGATACCTGTTTGTCACGGCAAAGTGAGATGAAAGTTCGGCCCCTTCCTTCCTCCCGCAGTCTCCTGGGAACCTTCACAGGTCCCATAAGACTGCTGGACCAATGAGAATGCACAACGCGATTTGCCATTGCACAGTGGGCACCTGGCTGTGAACTGCAAGCTGTCCCACAGTTGTGATGCCAGCGCCGGAGTAAGAAGAGGCAGAGAAGGGACAGCGCGGGTGAGCACATTGCTGGACCCTGGGACAGTTTTTGTAGCTGCTGACTTTTAATAAACACAAAAACGTCTGGAACTCCACTTTAAGGTTTGGCTAGAGTAAGGAATAACTAAAAACCCCTTTCAATCTTTGTGCCATTGGGAAACATTTCCTTCCTGTTTGAGATACACCAGGAAGTTAGAGGAGATCTCTCCAGTGAGGAACATCCTATAAAGTTATGGGTCTGGGTTCCCCAGAAAAAAATGTCCTCTTTGAAAGATTTCCCTTCGTTTCTGTTCCCATAACACCAGCATTTTATATTTTTTTACTTTCAGTCCCAGTGACACTGGTCACAAGGACGGATTGAGTGTACATCTCCCAAGCGAGAACACATACAGCAAATGATACCGACAGTGGTTCCAACCCTCCACAACTCTATCTAAAACAGAAAAAAATAGTTTTAGAAACACTTTAAGATATTAGAATAATACTTGCCTGTCCATGAGTATCACCAGGAGGTTTTCCAGGTTCAAACCGTACAGCTAAGCCAAAATCTGCCAAAATTGCTGTCAGGTCATTTTTCAACAATACGTTCTTACTTTTGAAATCTCTGTAGGAAGAAAAGAAAATGTATAAATGAAAGGTAGACAGAATCAGCTATGAAACAGAACAGGCTATAAAAAAAAACAGCAAAAATATTTACTAGTGAGCAGTACTTCAGGAAATCTAAAAAAAAAAAAAAAAAAAAAAAAAAATAATAGAGAAGGAAAGCCAAGTGTAAGCTGTATCAAAGACCTACTCCTTTGTGCCATCTAAGGCATAGCATGTCTCTTCTGCAATACAGAGCTTCTTATTTGCAGTCTTGGTTTAGTTCTGCTTTAAAGGATAACTATTTGCAGTCCAGGTTTAGTTCTGCTTTAAAGGATAACTATTCTTTTAAATCAATTTAGGATCGATATTATAATTATTAAGTGCCATCAACTTGAGTCCGAGTCCTAGTGAGTTGATGAATAAGAGCTCTAAAAAAAGTCTGCTTTGTCCTAGTCTCCGACGTCATCCCAACTGTAGTCAATGTGTCTCCCTCTTCGCCTGGTTCCTTCGATCTTCTCAAACATTATTTCCTTCTCCAGGATCTCTCCCTTCTGACAGTGTGACCAAAATAGGACAGACGCAACTTCATCATTTGAGCTTCTAATGACATTGCCGGTTTGATCCCTTCCAAAATCGATTAGTTCTATGGGCTGTCCACGGAACACATAAAATCCTTCTCCAGCACCAAACCTCAAATGAATCGTCTTCTTTCTACCCTGGTTCCATACTGTCCAGCTCTCACATCCATAATAGACAATATACAAAGTAATAATGTATGCGTTATTTGCCATTATGATTGTTACAGCAATTACTACTAATATATCCGGAACCAGACAACAGTAAATGCAACCCCTTACTGCTTTCATCTACATTCTTTCTGAATGTACATAAAGCAGTCTTTATACTACTGGCATGTGGCATCTTTCAAAGTACAGGGAAAGAAGAGACAGAAAAAGTTATATTTGCAATTATATAAAAGAACATATCTGGCTTAACAGGACAGCTATCCCTTGCCCCTAGAGTCTACACATCAGCCCTATCATATATGTAAACCGAAAATTGCAGCTGCTCAGTTGTTGGACAAAATCTGAATTAGCAAGGGGGCTTACTACTGTCTGTTTGTTAGAAATCTCTGCACATAATGAGTTAGAAGCAATTATTTTCTTCCGACACCGCAGCAGCACGAGATACATTCATCAGATCATTCGACCTGTAAAGGAAAAGAGGAATTTTCTGTTATGAGCTGTTAAAGTACACCTGCCATGAGAGAAATATGAGGTCTGCCATTGTCAAATGTCTTATACACGAAGGTTCTTTGTGCTTGCCCCTTGTTCATCCTCTTATTTTACTGCAAGTCTAAAACAATGGTCTTCTTGCAGTTTTGAATGACATGAAACTCCCACAATCCCCGATAGCCCAAGGCCATGCAACCTAGGCTGCCTATACTTTAGGTCACACAACAATCTAATTTGGTAAAGCTCTTGTAAAGCTCACACAGTGTGTCTGATTGATTCATGTGAATGATAGGTTTTGTAAGGGAAGACCTTAATAAATAAATAAGACGTGCTGTTTGATAGCCTCTCAGGCCAGAGATTTCACTTATTAAGAATCAAGCAGCAACAAATTAAAATTTGTCTCTGGAAATAGATACAACTCTTCCCATGACAATCCCCTTTAGAATGCAAGTGACAAATCTTCTTTCCTCTGATTAGGTGGACCGTTAAGGCTATTGAATATCAAAGGAGAAGTTTTGTCACAAGTACCATGTGGACAGAGGTCTAAGGACTAGTATAAAATAATATGGCTTCTCTGCTTAAATGATCTCTTTGCCAGCTCCAAAGGGTATGCTAGTCAATACTCCTGCATCCCATAGCTATTGTCCAAAATAAAATCTTTTTTCACTCAAAATGGAGGTGAGGGCCCAAATACGGGTGTAACATGGTGCTAAAGCTGGACACCCTGGACAGCCTCTAAAGACCTGCAAAAATGGTGAAGGGCACTAAAATCATAATATGATCAGGCCTCTCATATCTGGAACCTCATACCTTATCAAGTAGAAATGTTAACTATGGCAAGTAATTAGCACCACATCAACCCATAGCTAAATTCAAAGCAACACATCATGTTTGGACAGAAGACCTTTATCAAGCCTTAGCTTAATGAAGAACTTTTGTCTAAAATGTGCTGCAATGTTTTGGTTTTAGGTATGTGTCAAAAAAGTGATACTTGCCAAAACCTAGCAATGGCAGACTTGTTCTTTAATGATGACAGTATGGGGATAGTGCCAGAGCAACTGCATACCTCCTAACTTTTTACGATAGGAACGAGGGACACCTATTAGCAAAAGTATGTAGGCATAGAACACACCCCTGCCACACCCCCTTAAAGGAGAATTATCAATAAAAATTAGTTAAACCCATAAGTGCTTTTTTTTTTTAACCACTACTATTACTTTATACTGTTTTTTTAAATTTACCAATGCAGAAATTTAGAAACTGGATGAATGGTTTAGCACTGTGAAACCCTTTTTGAAAGATAAATAGTGCATTTTATATACCTGTATAGACCAGACCAAAATGAGGGACAAACGAGGAAGAACGAGGAGAGAGAGGGACTTTGTTCCAAATCAGGGACAGTCCTTCGAAATCAGGGACAGTTGGGAGCTATGCAACTGTAAGTGGTGTTGAGCTGTGAACCAATGGGCGAGCAGTATTGTTTGCTTTGCTTTTTTATTTTTTGTTTTATTATCTATACTATATGGCGTAAGAACAGTTAGTTCAATATTTATGATATACCATCTGTAAATAAAGGATAAGTATTATTGGTCATTATTATTATGGCTGTAACTCTAAAATCCAGGAACGAAACAATATTCATTCAAGGGAAATGTGCCACTAATTAAAGAAGGTGAAAAAAAACAAAACAAAAAATGTAAATAATCAAATCAACAAAATGGGCAAAGACGTACAGTTAATTTTATAGTAAAATAAACTTAATTCAGAAGATTCAGAGGTTGTAAGGTTGTAATGCTGGTTCATTCATTCTATTTTAAACACACAACAGTCCACATTATTTCGGGTGTGTGTTGAATAAAACATGGCTGAATTTTTTTTTTGATTTGCATATGTCAAGTCCTTTCAGCTGTGTCCACATCTATTAACATATCTGCTAAGGTTTTACTGTATGCTTTTCCCCTTTATAAATATGAATAGTTTGACAAACAAGAAATGTAATTATTGAAATTTCACGATTCATTTCACTTAGTGCCAAGCACCAGTGATTTCCCGGAGTTAAAAAGTGAATCATTTTAATTGGCCCATTGGCTCGCATTTATAGTAGAATCCACTGCCTTTAAAGTTCCACATCGTCAAACATTTCATTGCTATTGCATGGACTGTAAAGCTGTAATTTTGTGCTTTTACCCTTTACATTTATTTATTTTATTCATATAGTGCTGGCAATTACTACAGTTGTTTGCAAAAAACACTGAACTATTCACGAGATTCCTTGTCCATAAAGGAGCTTACAATCCCTACCACAGACATACACATGGGCACACAAAGGCTGGTTCAATCTGGATTAATCTGGATAGAACACTAGCCTACCTGTATGTTCTCATTTTTTTTTTTTTTTAACTGTGGAAAGAAAACCAGTGGATTCAACAGAAACCCACACAAATACATGAGAAACATACATACTGAGTAATGTAATGTAAGATTTAACCCAGGACTCCAACAATATAAGGACTGAATATTAGCCACTCAACCAACCTTGATTTAGGGTCCTCCTCAAGTCACCCATGGTGTTTTAGAACTTTAATCCATACACAGGGGACACTATCTGATTTCAAGGGATTGGGAAAAATGATTGATTCTAAAATGAGGTATATTCAATAAACTGCTGATTTTAACATAATTGCAATGCCTCCTGCAGACAAAAAGCTGTTCACAAAATTACCTTTCTTGTTTTTATACTATTAATATAAAAGTGGAAGTCTAATAGACATGCCCTCTACTGATCGGCAGGGGTCTGTCAGCTTGAAAACCCCACACATCAGTTGTGTTAACACTGTTCCCCAGTAAGCTCTGATTGCAGAACTGCCTGGGTTAATTACCCCTAGAGTGGCATAGCCATGTTTCAGAAGGCCAGTGATTTCAACTGTAAGTGGAGACATGCAGACATAACCTTGCTGTGAAAAACTACTGAAAAAAGGGGTTTCTGAGACGACATTAAAGAAAGCCAAGCAGCACTGTCTGATAGTATTCCTGTAGATGACTGGTGGGGTACTGGGCAGCAGTGGGGGTCATAGAAGGTAAAGCTGCTGGAACTGTAGGCTCTCATTCATTCAAGCGTAGGAGAAATTGATCTAGGAAGCACAAATAAGTAAACAAACAGTGTACGTTATACATCTTAAATATACCTCAAACCTTGGAACATAATTATGAGGGTCACTTGGGATGAAAAAGACATGCAGAGTGCTTTGCATGTGAAGACTGAAGTTCCAGAACTTCTGAATGGTTACAAGTTAGAATGATGGTGTATACTTATGGAACTGTGGACTGAGTACTGTTTTATTCATGTCAGCTGTCATTTCCCCTGCGCTGCACCACCTGTGCAGAATCGCAACAGCAAGTAGAGGGGTGCTGCGGGCCATGGGACTACAAGATGTGTGTCAAAATCCAGGACAGATCCACAGAATCAGGGACAGTTGGAAAGTATGCTAAATGAATTCCATGTATTTCTATTTGTTTATAAATGTCCTATAAATGCACATACACTATACTGCCAAAAGTATTGGGACACCTGCCTTTGCATGCACATGAACTGTAATGGCATACCAGTCTTAGTCTGTAGGGTTCAATATTGAGTTGGCCACCCCTTTGCAGCTATACCAGCTTCAACTCTTCTGGGAAGGCTGTCCACAAATTTCAGGAGTGTGTTTATGGGTTTATGGCGGGTGTCGGCAACCCGCGGCTCCGGAGCCGCATGCGGCTCTTTTTCACCTTTCCTGCGGCTCCG